AGCGCAGTGACAGATGGATCCGTAATAATCTTTTCCCACGCACCGATTGTGGGGATGGTGGTAACAATCTCCCCCAGCTTCAGCTTGTAAAGGATGGTGGTTTTTCCAGCAGCGTCCAGCCCCACCATGAGAATCCGCATCTCCTTCTTGCCTATCAGGCTCTTCAACAGGTTACCAAAGAGATTCCCCATGATGACTGACGGCTCTCACCTCAACTGCAACAGAACTGCAAACACAGGTAACGGAAGAGACCTCTTTCCATATATAGCAATAAAACAAACCTGTGGACCACATATAGAAAGTAAAAGATGTGGTTAGACACAGTAGCTCTTCAAAAGCAACTCTCAACATTAACACCTCATAAAAGTAAAAGCAAACTTCACACCTCGTCAGGCAGCTGATCAAACTTAAAAGCTGTTGCATTACATTTTTACAGCTAGCAAGGAAAAGCAACCGCCATGTTGGATCTCTGTTATGTGGATCAACTTTCATGTGGTGCAGAGTAACTACCTTTAATGCTGTCAATTGAATGAATGCCAGTGTAACAATCAATTCATATTACATTAAATAAAACATAACCTCAGGTTGAGAGAACATGTAATGCAAACAGCCTACAGCTTTGTGAGTGTTTGAGTGTGAGTGCATGAGTTTGTGTGTCATTGTGAGCGTCTTATGTGTCTGACTAACTCCTGATTAGGTCACAGATGGGAGATTATGGGATGCAATGTTGTCAACTTGGTATTATGCACTCTGTTACAATGTTTACTTTGTTTTATTACTAATGGATACAAATTATGTATATTACATTGATGTAACCATTTATATTATGCTGCATTGAGAATACCAGTTTATTTTAGGGAATTCTCCTTCACATTCCCTTGAAAGTTATATATATTGTGTTTTTTTTACAACAATAAGGATGTATGTCAATAAAGAAACACACAACACAGAAGCTTGAATTAGTCCATGCTGTCTTGGTATGGCTCCTTTAACTGGCCACCTGTCAACTTGGGCTAATATTTTCCACCTGAGTGGCAATTTGTATGTGCTTTAGTGATATACCAAGAGTACAAAAATGCACACAAAGCCAAATGTGATGCTGCAAGAGGATCACTATTGCCCTGTATAAAGACGTTATTTTTATGATAATAATCTAGTTTAGTATCCATTCATTTATATCAATTGTATAGGCTTTACTGTAGCTGCTAGCACAGCCTGTTACAGCTGCAGTGGCCGCACAGCATGTACATCTGTCATCATAACGCAAGAGGCTGATGCTGCAGTCCAAGCAGGCGATGAATTTGAATGAGACACATTTCCTACATAAAGCGTAAAACGATAAATATTCGAGCTAAGGTTAGATAGCGACAATATTACGTGTTCAGTTCTGAAAAAATAAATTTCTCTGGGTCAATTTGTTTGATGTAATCCTCCTCGTACAGTCACGACAAGGCAGCACATCAGTCGGCCTAATGTCGTCGATTAGCGGCGGTTATTTTACCGTAAAGCGTTACAAGGCGTTTAAACAGCAAAACAACGCTGCGGTCATCTTTATTACTTAGTATACATCTTGGAGCATTTTCACCATATGCATCTCATTCACACTTACCCGTCCACGGCAGGCAGGCTACCAGCTGTATTCATGCAGAGGAGAGGACTCGAAGAAAGTCTCGCGATCATAAGAGGATGTGAAGTGTTGTATTCTCGCGATAGTTGAATGTCAAGATCACCTCTCACGTTTGCAATGACTTGTTAAAAGCCAGGAGGAATTGCTGGAGGGCAACAGTAATTTAAATGTCTCTTTATAAAACATGAATATTTTTGTGTAACATCAGCATCGACCTGCTTTGAGATTTTACCAGCTTCAGGTTTAATAGTGTCCAGCTTTAATTTGAACACAATATTCTTTATGATAGATACACATTGCATGTTTTAAATGTTAAATGTATTTTGTGTGGTGTTACAGCAGGCCAACAACAAAACCAATATGAAATGTTACACGGAGTCTGCAGCCAAACATGCTTAAATAATTAAAACAGGAATAATCTTAATGAATAAGTAAATGGCTTACTGTAATAGGATGCCAAGTGATACTTCCTGCCTGTTTCTGTCAATGAGGTGACAGGAAGCAACAAAACACTGAATCAATATAGCAGATTACTTACAGTGAGTACTAATTTTGTCATAGTATCATATATCATAAGGTGATACTGAACATGTATGAAGTGGTGAAATAAATGTACAAATAACAACTGTGAATATACTCCACTACAACTAAAAAGTGCAGCATTCAAAACTTTACAAAAGTATTTAAACATTACCTGAAGTATTAAAAGTCAAAGTACATTTCATGCAGTAAAATACTCCCTGTCTGTGTTTGACTATTATATACGATGCTTTTGGATTAATCCCCATTTTAATATTTAAGGTTGTGCGAATTTCTAAATAAATAAATAACATAATTACAGATGTCAGCTTTGTAACAATGCTTTTTCAATTTGATCCAATAAAGTTTTCAAATACTTTATTTAGCTTAAGATATAGGATAATATTCTTACCCTAAATGTGCTGAGTTACATTCATAATTGCATTGATGTGGTTTTACAGGTGGCAGTGCGTGTCAAAGTCAGGAAGAAACCTCCCTCCAGTAGGTGTGGGTTTAACTCATTACCTTGAAAAAAAAAAACCTAGTGTGATTAAATGACACGCCGGATCCCAGCCCTAAAACCATAGGTGACTCCAACATGTATCCCCCTCTTCCTCTCTGTTGTGTGTCAGTCAGCGGTCCAGTGATAGATGTGTTTATCAACTCAGTGGTGAAGGCAGAGGAATAAAGAGGGGAGCAGATGTTTGCAGCTGCAGACCAGATTATGGGGTGGAGGAGTGGATGGTGGGGGAGCCTGCCGAGTTTGTGCGCGGGGAGTTTTGAGAGGGTTACAGGGGGGTTACAGTGTGGCAGAGAGAGGTGGGGTGGGGAGCTATGACTTAAAGGAGCCTTTCCTCTGAAGTGTCTGCCAGCATGCACCCCAGCAAACACAATCACAAGTCTCGTTGGTTCTGCTAGCTGAACTAATGAGGGCCTGCGCGTTGAGGGCAGGAGCTTTGATGTTCTGGGTAGCTGGCTCCTTGTGTTTTCTCTCCCGCTCTCCTTCTCTGCCTGTCCCACATCAAAAAATGAAAGGGGAGTTGAGAAGCAGATGTTTTGAGGCATGTATTTATACAGAGTACACTTTATTCACCCCCTTCACCATACCCCATTTGTCCTTTGCTTCTGCATCTCCGCCGTACGTACAGCGAGGATCTATCTCCCCATCTTTATATCCAACTAAACACACTAAATCGCCTTACTTTATACATATAATCATCCTGTCAATCAAAGTGGGTCACTTTTATCTCTCCTAACTTCCTCTCTCGGCCTTCCTCTCTTTAATTTCAACCCAGTCTGGTTGTCATTACTCGGGGGGGCAGTCAATGTGTTGCTATGCATGCGTCTATGTCTGCAGCGATGAGGGGGAGAATGGGAACGAGAGGGAAAAGAACGCACAGAGGGAGCGAGAAACCAATCCCAGGCTGTCCACCAACCTCTGTCTCACACATGCGAGAAACAGTGACAGGAAATTCCCTTTCGCAGCAGCTCCAGGGGGAAATGATAAAGGAATGAAGAAATGCAAACCAGAAATCTTTTGCCTTATCATTCCATACGAGTTGCTGTCTCTTTTTTATTCCCTCACTAAATACCAAACAGACAAAACAGTTGATTCGGCCACTGGCACCACCATTCCTTAGGAGCTGAGGGAGGTTTACAGGAATCCATACAAACAACACTTGAATGGCATTAAATCTTATTGTGTCAGATAAAATATTGTGTTTGGATCATCCAAGATATCTAGGAATGCTGCCATCGTTAATTCAGTCAGGTGTTGACATGGGAATTTTGCTAAATCTGCAACATCTCAGGTCACCAGGAGTTCTGTCTGACAGTTCATAAATGTGAGACAGCATGCATGTTTTTGATTGTGCATCAGTGCCAGTATTCCTACATGTAAGTGTCTTTGTGCATAAACAAATGCACGTGTTTATGTGCCTGTGTTTACATTTGTGTAGTCTGTCTCCCAGGTAACCATGACACAGCATCCCACGTGGTTTAGCGAGTCCCTTGGTTGGCCATGAACTCTGGGACAGATGATCCCCTCAGATGCTCGCACAGCAGAGACTGGTATAATCACCCCCACTCTCTGCTGGCTTGATGCTTCTCTCCAGTAATAAAAGTCATACTTTAAGGAAACAATATCCTGCAGCCATAAAAAGTCCTTCTCTCAGCATGAAGTGGCCATAAAAAAAGCTCTCACCTCCCAAATCTGTAGTGCGTAGAACTTGCCCCCCCATTTACACAGCAACAGACACACACACACTCAATACACACTTCCTTCAGCATCAGTTCAAGACTATAGCCATCTCTCACTTTGACATGTACTACATGTGGGAAGAATTTAAGGAGTACTCTGACTGATGAAATTGACAAAAGAAAGCACAGAATAAGAAGCGCTCTGTCATCACTTCATAAGAAAAATGACACATCATATCACAGCTATATTCATAAAAAAATATGACTACTTGCGACCATTTTCTAACGTTCGAACGGTTTGCATAACCAACATTGTGTTAGTGGTTCAGTCTTAGGAATTTAAGGGCTTTGCCACTTTTAGTTTTACCAGTATACAAGTGTTCTCTCTGTCCTGAGATCTATCAGATGTATCAGTCAGTTAAAAACCACAAAAAACAATTTCCTTCTTCCATTAGTTAAAGCCTTGTCTAAATGTTCTGACTTATTCAAAATAAGTATTGTGGCCCTTTTCTAGTCACAGGTGCAAGACATTCAAATGGAGTTAATATCTTGGAAATCTGCTTACTCCGCGAACCTGGCTCCGGATACCGGTTGAAAACAGATGGATGTATCTTGATGATCATCAGAAGAGACCAGTTAAATGTGATATAAATTGCTCTGTTTTACAGCACTAAACCACTCTTACGCATAAGTCTGTCAGTAACTATAACCAAAAAGAAAGGCACAACACAATCTTAATATTAATAATAATACATTTACAAATATACATGTACACATTTAAATACACACCTATTGTACAATGTGATGAGTCATCATGTAGACATTAAAATAGAAATGCTTCTTTGCTGTTCACTGTTGCTTTGTTTTGTGGGATAGAAAAGATTGGGTATTTGCTGTTTTCATGGCTGAGAGGGCAGCGTCTAAACAACCATAGCAGGACAAATGTCGTGAGTCACCTCTTCAATCTCTGACTTGGCATTTTGAGAATAACAGCGGCTACAAAGAGAAAATAGATCCCAGATGATGGACCCAAAAAAAGGAAAGGGGGGATAAACAGACTTCTGGGAGAGTTACACAAGGAGGATAACAAAGGCTCGAACAAAAGGAGTGGGCGAGGGGACAGGCTCACCATCTTGAGTCTGGGATGGGTAAAGGCATCTGGGACTTGGAGATCTACTTGCACACACTGACCCACTCTGTGAGACGACACTCCTCACACAGCACGTAGCAACACCAGTGGAACCTGCAGTTGCAGCGCTCACTGCGTGTCTGTCTCAGGATGTTGTGTCCGCGGCCGCAGCACAACGAGCCGCAGCTGTCTGTGCTGTAGCTGGTTTTGTTGCAAATGCGTCCTTGTGTACCCGGAGAGTCTACAGAGGCATCGTGCTCACAGAAGTCAGGAGACTTCTCAAAGTACACCAGCTCTCTGGACATGGTCCGTCGGCGACCTCTGTTGGGTCCGCCTGTGCTTCCGCCGGCGCTGTTTCCTGTTCGAGGGTTGAAAACCCCATTGTTCTTGTTCTGGGAGTTGACAAAGATGGCTGACAAGAACTTTTCCCTGAGTAGAGAACCCACAAGCCGGAACTCTGGAGACACATGCCAGCAGGTCTTAAACTGGCAGCTCCCTGATGTCCCGTGACATTTGCACTTCCTCTTCATGTTGTCAGTCACTATCTGTGTAAAGAAAAGACAATTGTGTTACAAATCAGAAATGCAACAATGTCACCTATGATTATATAGGCCAGTGAGAGTGTGGAAGTGAGACTGCTCTCTGAGCAACACTAAAACATTGTGGATAATTCCTCACCTGTCGTCCCACACGGTTGTTGTGTATCCTCATGCGAGCGTGGATGTCTCTTGGAGAGCCGCGGGAGTCCAGCCAGTCCCTGGAAAAACGGTCCCCAAAACGGACGTCATGGCTGCAACCCCCCCACTCCCACGTCTCCTGCATGGAGCTCAACTCATCTGGTATGGGCTTGAGCAGGGCCGAGGGATGGGTGGAGCGCAGGTTAGCGGGCAGGTCGCCATGGTGACCGTTGAGCTCTGAGGGTAACGATCGTGACATGGCGAGGCCTACTCCACCCTTCTGCAGGGTCTGCAGCTGCAGCTGTGTGAGTTTCAGGCGGATCTTGTCATCGTCCTGGCGACGCTTGGCCTCACAGCCACACCCCCGCAGCTTGCCCATGCTGCAGGCCGAGGCCACAGAGTGAGCCACGCCCGCTGCCAACAGGGCCAGGGAGAAGGCACTCTCGCGAAAACCTGGGAACAGGAGATAAACACTCAGATGATGAAAAAAATAAACAGACCAGCATCTGTGTGCAGAACAACCTCTACTCCCATATTTACATCTCCACCCCCTGTTAACCCAGGTCACATTATGACCATCAACCATGCCTCCGGCTCTCACCCCTGTTGAGGATGGTGTTGTGGTGGGGAAGCTTGCCAAGTCCCTCCAGTGAGGAGCAATTCCAGCGCTGATCCCGGAGCTGGTGCTGGCATTCGTGAATGGCCACCTGGATGCCCTGCAGAGCGGAGGCCGTCACATCGGGGCTCCGCACACACATCCTCATCTGACGCTTGCTGAGGCCTGCCAGCCTCAGGCACACTGAGTTAGGGGTTAGCACTGGATCTCCTGCCACCTTCAGGCTGAGAATATCATTACACAGCACCCTGCAGAGAGGGAGAGAAAGAGAAAGGGAGAGAAAAAGAGAGTTAGTGGGGGGGCCATCAGAGCTTGTCAGGAGTTCATTAGTCAAATCCGGAGAAGCATGTCGAAAGATGCTTTTGGATACTTAAGAAAATCTAAAAATACAAAACAAGTAAGATTTAGGATGGATATACTTCACAGTAATGTATCTCATTTATAAGTGATTTGCTGAGGCTACAGTTAATAAAATGTGATAATCAATTGCACAAGGATTTACAACAGAGTTTCATCAGATGTTGTTTAAAGCGGGGAAATATAATTCTAAACAGAGCATCAACTGTGAAGTCCCAAAAGCAGAAATATACTTGCCAAACACATCTTATGGAGAAATAACAATAGTGTAATCTACAGTAAACTGATTTCTTTATGGCCTTGCTAAGACTTGTAGACTAAAATATTAGTAAAAATTGATTCTTATGTTTCAACATTACACACAATCTGCCTGTGAAATCATAGGCAGAGCTTTCACTTTTAAACTAAATATGTTAAGTATTCTTTTAAAGTCATACACAGTAACTTCCATCAACTCTCCTCGCGCTCTCAAGTGCACTCACGTTAATGCAGGTGACATAAGTGCTGCTGCCAAAATCAGGAATTGGTCCCAACGGAGTTTGTTTGATAGCTCCATTTTGTTAAGCGTCTTTCGCGACGTGACATTAAAACACTCGTAATAAAGTCCTGTATTGAATGAGAATATCAAAAAAAGAAGAAGAGTGGAGTATTATCGATGCACCGCCAAACGAGCGAGGAGTGAACACGGAGAACAGAGGAGCTCGGGGGCGAGAGTAAACGGGAGGGGGGAGAAAGAGGGGAGGGCAGGAGATGCCTCCACAGGCGGCTGTTTGCTAAATATTGGCCAACATGAGAGTTGGATCAACAGTTGATTATTTTATCATTTGAGTGTGAACTTTTGTGCGAGCGTAAAATGACGTCTCCAAACTTTTTACGCACAAGTTCCCATCCGCGCAATTGTCAAAAGTTTTGGTAGATGATCAAAAGTACTGGATCATACAAGCATATTTAATAGCTTATATAAATATTATTATATTTATACTTGGTCTTTATTGAGGGGAAGGTAAATTGTGAAACACATTCCTTCATTTTCGATGACAAATAACAAAAAACACTCCGAAAAAATGAAATATGAAAAGTCAAAAGAGATTTTGTTCATAAAGGGTTGAGTTAAATGATGAATGGGGGGAGGGGGAGGTCTTCTGGTTCCACTGTACGGCAGGGAGGCAGCAGCAGGCAGGCGGCTCCGCTAACAGACCCTCCAACAATACTGTTTTTAGTCATGTGGTCCCCCTTCCTCCCACCTCCATCAGTGCGGCTGTTCCTCATTGTTGTGTTTGAAACAACTTCACTTTGTCACTCTAAAGTCTTTATTTCAGAGAATAACATTATATACATAAATTACGGGAGTGACAGCTCTTTTTTTGGGTCATGATTTATCACATTACGGCGTGACATGCTCCAACAAAAATCTAAAGGCAAATAACACCTCTTGGTTTTAGCAGGCAGTGTGTAAGTATAGGGCCTCAATGGTCTTTAAACATTTCATTTATATACAAAATATGATATCTAATCAAATCAATGTTCATGCTCAATAATGACTGGACCTATGCTCAGGCACTCTGCCAGCATTTAGGATACTGTGGCAGCTCGGCATCGAATCAATCAGCATATTGATATAAATAAGTCAACACTAAATCAACATGTCCATCGCTGATATAATTTTCTAACAAATAAAAAAGGATTCTCGACCAGACATTAAACAATAAGAGACACTGCTGTTGGAATCTGGAAGGTGCATGTGGGTTACTCTCATAAAATTAAGTTAAAACCCCCCTCGAACACCGTTCGCATAGTGACACCAATTCATCTAATCTCCTTCCATTCCCTAAGCTGCAGCAATGAAAAGTGCATTAGCATTCTGCCTTGGCGTGTATATCTAAGTGGCTTAAAAAGTGATTTGAAGTTGATTTGTATATAAAAGGCCCCCTTTATCCGGATTGAAGCTCTAATCTGCTCGGTGTCGCTTGACTGCTCCAGGAAACTCGTTTGAGCACCTTCATATAAGGCTGGAGTTTAAACGTAGGATGGCTGTCATTAAATCCTTTTTTTTTTCTTTTTTTTTTTACAAAAGCCCACTTCCTTTTACTGTCATCTGAGGGAAAAGAGGGAGAGAGAGAGAGATGAAGCAAGAGGGATGGGGAGAGATTATCCAAACTCCACCGCTGCAGTGACTAACGTTGGAACATGCAAATTAGCAGATAAATGTCACATAATGAAACATTCCGCCATGAACCAACATGGAGAAGTTTGGGGACATTGAAGCCTGCTCCTAGTCTGGGGTTAGATGGAGATGCCGCAAAGTGGCTCAAGCTGTGATTACACTGGGCTATGTGCGTCGAGGGAGGTCTGCAGGCCAGATGTTTGGAATGGTTTTTATTCTTACTCGTCCCCCTCTTTCCTGGTTCATCATACATCAAACTTCTGATTGGAGACCGTATATCATCCCTACTGCGTTTGAAAAAACATTTAAGTAGCCCAGCAGGCAGTGTGAGTAATATGACAACTTAGAGCGTATTATAACAACTATGCAAGTTTCGTTGTGCGTGTGCATGGCCATGGGTTTATAAACACTGGCGATAATAGTTGTGTCTATTGGGCCTAATCTTAATAAGAATCTTAATAAATGAAGAGCACCTCGTGAAAAGGTTTTAATAAAATATTGTTCATTGGTACAATTACCTCGTGTGTATTTATAAAGGGATTTGTGTGAAAAGGAAACGAAATGAACAGAAATGTCCTTAGTCACTGCACATTTTTAGAGCGCGTTTGGAGAAAGGAGGAGGAGATGTGGTTAGGGAGTAGGCTAATCCAACCACCGGGTAAAAAGGGCAGTTTTAGATGGCTCATATTCCGCTGTTACTGTATTGCACCGTGACACCAGTTTGGAGCAGCGGCGGAGCACCAAACCGGGCGCACCCACAGCATCTGTACCAACACATCACTGCTGCAGGGCATTTCTCCTTTCTGCAAGACTGGATGTGGAACCAAGCGCACGGCCAGTGGGAAAATACTTGCAGCCGCACACATTTACAGGGAATCGATTATGTGGTGACCGTGAGATTCCACAAGTAATATGCGAAACTCTTGTGGATTGCCCTATTTTTTCTCTTCCTTTCTCCTTTCTGCCCAGTTGTGTTTCCGTATTCATTGTGCGCCCTATGAAGAGCATTAACTATCCCTCCCTCCAATCCTATTGAAAAGGCTCCGAAAAAAACAGAGGGAGATGAGAGCAGCAAATCCCTTTTTTATTCCCTTCGTAGCGCTCAATAAGAGAAGAATGTGTTGCCTATCAGTCACCGAGGGGATCAAGTCTTCGGGACTGTCCCACGCGTTCAATGCGCCGTGCAGAGCATCACTGAGAGAGACAGAGTGAAGAGGACTGCAGCAGCACTAGCATCCTGCCTGGACACTTCACATCATTTAGCAACCTGTCTCCACTCAACATCCATTTAAGTCAATTAGGGCTGTCTGCTTCTCTCACCTTTCAAGTCGCCTCACCGGACCGTGGCGTGGTGAGTATCCACCTTGCATTACTTTAACTATTGAATTGATCATTAACATTTTAACCCATTATCACACTTAATGGGTTTTTCGCGATGCAAGGAAACAATGTAGCCAATTGCCAGACGTCTGTTCATTTGTCCCTGTTTAAGACAAAAGGTTTATTATGGGTTATTAGATTGTTTAACTCCAAGATGTGCTAGAGAGTTCAGATGATCCAAGGTATCTGGGACTTGGCTATAACTTTGTCTGAACAAAACCCATTTGACATTTCCCTCCTCATTTGACCTGAAGACACGATGAGGAGTCTGGCGCTGCTGATAGGGGTGAAAGCTGCCTGCATCCTGCTGGTGTCCTCGCTCTCAGGCACAGGGGCCGTCAACAACAGCGGCCGGTGGTGGTGAGTTCAGCAGACATGCACATTCATTCAGTGATCAGCATCCTACATTCGGAAAAGTTCTGTTTAATGCTGGTTTGGGCAAGGAAGACCATGCGCTACAGTGTATAACGGTGTTTTATTGGGGTTGCCACATCCCGTGCTGCATGCTCTAAATAATGTGTTAGTTTTGGCATCCTTTACAACTTCTGAGAGAGTAACCGCATGACATATTAAAGTCTGTGGGCTTTTTTTATGTATTGCTCTTTCAGTGTAATTAGATTATCTATTAAACAGTAAACGAATTACATTTGTAATAATTACAGGATTACCTTTTATTTGCGGTAGATTTAATTTGCTCTCTCTTTCTCGCTACTGCCCTGTCATTTGGACAATGTGGTTTGAACAAGAGACAAGATTTTTCAGTCCAATGTGGGAGAAATTATATATGGATTTGTTTCATAGCTTAAAGGAATCCCAAGAGGTCTTTTCAAGGGTCACGTTGTTCTGATACTGTAAATTCGACTGAAAGCAAATACTAAAACGGCCAATTCCACAATATTTTGTTACAGAACAACACTATAATGGGATCTGTTTAGTTTTGCGTCAGTGGGCACATTGCCTTGCTTTTGTTAAAAAGTGTATAAACTGTGGGTTGGGTTTGTGGAGGTTATGATTTAACGAAATAGTTTGTATTTTTTGCGGTCTCATTAGATGGACATTATTTGCGCACAACGGCGGGCGTTTCCAAATATTTAAAATGTCAGCTGATATAAAAAAAAAATGGGAGGAAAAAGACACCGCGGAGTTGTTGGAAGGAAAAAAAACATTCAAAAAGTCGACATTATTATTAATGCTCCCAGGCCTCACCACACAACTGTCTGGGTTGGCCCTCTAACAGGCCAAGACTCCCCCGATTTTCCGGATGATAATGCTTAACAGGAGACGCATACACTACATGTGAATCAAAAACACATAAATCTAAAAGAGGTCGGCAGGAACTAAACTGGAAAATTATGCAGCCTGTGTACAGAAATACTAAACGTAGAATTGTTCTGAAACATGGCCAGTAAAAGGAGTGCATTCAAGCCATGTTCAGTGATCTGACATTTGTAGCCCATAATGGAGAAGAGCAGGTGCGTGCCACTAACTGATATTGTTTTGAAGCCAAATACACATAATACTTTCTGATTGCAACAAATACTTAGTTATTCATATAAAAGCAGAATAATAATTGATGGACGACTTGTAACATTAAGTTGTCTAAAGAATATGAGTTTTTACATCTTTGGCAGAGAGGATTTTAAATGTACTGCTGTGCATTTAAAATCCTCTCTGCCAAAGATGTAAAAACTCTACAAGCCTACAAAGCTTAAGGCCTTATGTTTAGTGACTAGGTCTAGTACTTGTTGACAGGATGGTCATATTGGAAAATGTCTTTTGACACTTTAATCTAAAAGTGCATGCAGACCATTTTTTCTCAGATTTTGGGTATTACTTAATATTTGAAAAATAACTAAATAAAGTAAATGAATGGTATCCATCTGGACAATACAGATTCAACATGCTGATGCATAATTTTACCAGTTTGGAGGTTCACAGAAGGAGCTACATCTATAAACCGCTAGCTCCTTAACACTAATTACCCTTATTTTTGTGCTGTGCCAGGGGTATTGTCAATGTGGCCTCCTCATCCAACCTCCTAACCAATTCCAAGAACGTGCAGTTGGTCCTGGACCCGAGCCTTGCCCTACTGAGTCGACGCCAGCGCCGGCTGATTCGGCAGAATCCTGGCATCCTGCATGCCATCGCCGCTGGGCTGCACACTGCCATAAAGGAGTGCAAGTGGCAGTTCCGCAACCGCCGCTGGAACTGCCCGACCACCCACAGCCCAGCAGTCTTTGGGAAAATTGTCAATCGTGGTGAGCCTCTCTTGTCTTTCTCACTAGCATTATTTGGACAATTTTGGCCAGGATGTAATGGAATCTGTTGTGCACTTTGTCTCTAAATATTTTCCAATTTTAGGCAAAGAAATTGGCACAGTTGAGTCTAAAAGGCTGGAATCGGTTCTGATGGGAAGTTTTTATGTTGTTTCTTTAGGTTGCCGAGAGACAGCATTTATTTTTGCCATTACCAGCGCAGGGGTGACCCACGCTGTGGCTCGCTCCTGCTCAGAAGGGGCCATTGAGTCTTGCACATGTGATTACCGTCGCAGAGGTCCTGGAGGGCCAGACTGGCACTGGGGGGGCTGCAGTGACAATGTAGACTTTGGCCGGATGTTCAGCCGTGAGTTTGTGGACTCCAGCGAGAGGGGCAGAGATCTTCGCTACCTCACCAACCTACACAATAATGAGGCAGGCAGAATGGTAAGAACTTGAAACTCAAACTTTCCAAAATTGTCTATCTTCATCAGAAATCCCAAAAGTTTAAAAAGCATTTGAAATCTCCACTTTGTTAAAAGCTTATGTTCTTCCTGTTTGCAGACTGTGTCATCAGAGATGCGTCAGGAGTGTAAGTGCCATGGCATGTCAGGGTCCTGCACCGTGCGCACCTGTTGGATGCGCCTGCCCAGCTTTCGCACAGTAGGAGACTTCCTCAAGGACCGGTTTGATGGTGCATCCAGAGTTGTTTATGCCAACAAGGGAAGCAACCGTGCTTCTCACAGAGCCGACCCCCGCCATCTGGAGCCTGAAAACTCGGCTCACAAACCACCCTCTGCCATGGACCTGGTCTATTTTGAGAAATCACCAAACTTCTGCTCCTACAATGGCAAAACTGGCACTTTGGGAACTTCTGGGAGAACATGCAACAGCTCTTCTCCAGGCCTAGATGGATGTGAGCTGCTCTGCTGTGGACGTGGGTTAAAGACCCGGACCGAAAGTGTGACTGAACGTTGCCACTGCACTTTCCACTGGTGCTGTCATGTCAGCTGCTTGAATTGCACAAGTACACAAACGTTACACCAGTGTCTATGATCACAGGAGGACATAGACATATGAAAGGCAAAGAAGAACTTCTTAGCATGACAGGCAGTAGGCTGAGAAAACCACTGGCACGGAAGGGATTTGAAATGTTAGGTAGGAAAACTTCAAGGCGGGTATACTGATACAGGGATCAAAATATCAATCAATGTTTTTGAATAGAATGAAAAGCACAAATATATGAACAGGGTAAAGAGGGAGTACATGTGCTTGCTCCTTGCCTTTGATGCCTAAAAATATCAAGAGGGTTTTTAAACACCACAAACATCTGTGCAGAATGGAAATCATTCATATCCCTCAAGTGTTTACACTGTGGAAAAATAGATTTAGCAGTAAAAAGGGAGAAAAATGTTTTGGTGGCGAATCGATTGCTGTAACCAGGTAGAGCCTCCTTCTCTCCCAGTGAGGGCAGAGACTGGACACAATGTTTCACAGATGTTTCTGTGGCCAGAGAGCCTCAAACATGTGCTCTCATAAACTGGTGAAGACCTCTAACAAGAGGAGAGTAATTTGAAAAAAAATAATCGTTTTTTTGTTTTCTTATGCGGAAGTTTGGCTTCTCTTACATGAAACTGTGTGAAGTTAATCTCTAGGGATGGGCCGTCTGCTCCCAACTTGTGTACTTAGGCCCTTGATGCAGCCCAACCACTTATAATGTCCTCACCACATTTGCCCTTTTTATTTAGTTTCTCTATAGTTGAATACACTTCAATCCTGATTTGCCACTCTTGACTTACCACAGGATGGTCCTGATGACTGGGGCCCAGTGCTCAACCAAGGAAAAACGAAACTGAGTGAACAATTGTTACTAAGGCAATATAATTTGAATGTATTATCAATACACTGAATATCAGAGCATGACTAGATGTAGTTTAGTAATTCAGAGGGTTCAATATTATAAAAAGAAACTAAATGTGACCTGCAGAATCTCACCATTCTCTCAAAAATGAAAACAAATGCCATTCCGAGTATATTAAATTAACAAAAAGACACACATTCCTGTTAATAGATGCGTGGTATAAAACTGGTGCAGGTTTAAAATGAGGTGTATGTGTAATACTCCAGGATAAGCTGTTAACAGCAGATGACATTTTACTTTGAAGGAAACAACCTCTGCAGGAGAGATGATTCTGTATATCAGCTTTTAGAACCAAAATGTTGTAAATATTAAAATATATGAATATATTTATAATGATGTCATTTGTAAGTTTGCTGAATGATTTATGCACCTGTCAAAGGCTGGAGAATTTGCTATCAAAAGTGTCAGGAGATGTTTCAATCTTTTTTTATTTAGGTGTAATGCAGCTGACACAAATCCGACTCTTACTAGAAACCAAACATTATCACGTCTTTCTGTCCTTTTTCTGTTCCTGTAAAAACACTTGTGTTCATGCACTGAATATTTACTTTTTTATTAGTGTAAATACTAAATATTTATTTCTGAGCATTTTTATACTGTTATAGAGATATGTAAAAGAAGAAATGTTTTGTTTAGATGTTAATCAAAGGATTTAGGCTCCAGTTGGTTTTGTATTGTATGATAGAACAATAAAGTTTATATTTTCAATTAAGTTGCCCTCCTGAATGTGTCAAAAGATGCCATTATGTCTGTTGTAGTCTGTGTTTGAGATAGTTTTGACAACCAACCAAGTGAACATATAAGCCTGTCCCTGGGTGTCCTTCGCCTAATCCTATTACCATCACCAAAGCAGCCTTTTTTCTCCAGCTCACAAAACATCCCTGCATCTGTGCTCCCAACCACAAGAGACGGCCCCTGCTTATCCAGCCACATACCTTATTCGATACAGTATAGGACTTTACTGAATTGAATATTGTGCTTAATTTGCCTAATGTGAAAAGGAACTATAGAAATAGTGTGAACAATCATGGAAAATCTTAGTCTCCCTCAGCGCCTGGCAACCTGACTAACCACAGGAGTTTGGAGAACTTTGCACTTTCACCACAGCACAGAAGCACCCAGGGTCATGCTGATAGAGCAGAGTAAGGCCACCAACACACACTCAACACTCACAAATAACAGAGCAAAATAAATAGTTGCAGGAAGAGAGATAGGGGATCTGGATGAGACTTTTCTGTGAATTACAGTCATGATGTTACCCAATAAAAATGAGGGAGGTAAATATGTTTGTCTGAAGAAAGCAAGCATTTAAGCAATACATTAATACATTGAGCAGTGAATGGCCAGCATCTGAAAGAAAGAGTTCATATAGAGCTGGGAGGTGTAACATAAAAAGGTCAAAAACAACAATACAGACCAAACTGAATCAAAAATACTGGGGTCACATGAGGTTGGAAGGCCCACTTAGAGAGAAATACAATAACTTAAATGATATATTGCTCACAGAGTTATAACACTGAATTGCTTCCAAACCCTAATACTCTGTCTTGTATTACTGCATCAGGGGTACAAATATGATATGGCTTTAAGTAGGAAATAATAAAGAAAGTAAAAAGTCAAGGGAAAGCAACAGGTCAGAAACGTGAAAATGATACAAGTCTGTCTGGAGAGAGAATTAACAGTCGATCAAAGGTACACAGAAAGAAACCAAAGACATAGAAAGTGGCAAACAGATTTAAGGAAAAGAAGAGGGAAGGCAGAGTTCAAATCCCAGGCGTGAGAGTGAGGTGGGAGAGTTTGGAGGAGAGAGTGAGTGGAGGGGGTGCTGCCTGTGGGAGTGCTGAGGAGTCAGTGATAATTAGCTCAATTAGTGACAAAGGCAGTGTAATAAATACCGACTTAGTGTCTGGGTCCCTGCTGGCCTCTCCCTGCGCAGCCTGCGATGTGGCCCTGGCCTGACGGACAATTCATTAAACTGACAAAATACCCCACCGTCCAGGCGTGACGCAGCGAGTTAGCCCCCTACAGGCCCGGCTCATTGTTCTAATTGTCTGGGCTGGAGTCACTTTGTGGCCGCCTCCTCCTTCACCCACCCCGCCTTCACGCTCTGCCTTCAGAAAACCCATGGAGTTAATGCCCCTACCTTACTCTGTAAGTAGGTGATCGGCAGGTTGGAGGAAAAAAAGCAGTAAGAGTTCCTTGGGGTGGGGCGGCTGGTGGGGGAGGCAGTGGGATTAGCGAATGGAGGTTGCCTGGGAGTGCTGGGAGCAGCCCCGATCGGAATGTAGGAGAGATGAGTCCAGAAGCTCGGATGCAGGACAAAGCGAGAGTTAATAAGGAAAGATTGAAGGGGCTGGCGACAATGGGCCGCCACCCGAGTCGAGATGAAATTGCTTCCGAGGATTATTGGGAGAGGGTGTGAGCGTTGTAGGCTTTTTGTGTGAGTGTGTGTTTGGTTGGGCATTTTGTGTGTGCAGGGGCAGGGGGAGTGCTGGATTGATGGCTGCCCCTCTGGTAGGGGAGCAGGGGACCAGGGGAGGCTAACCGGCTGTTCCCACAGTCTGTTCTGCTGCAGCCACCTTTGACACACGGGGCTGCCAGGCGGCGAGCAGGCAGCCATGGTGGGGAGGGCACAAACAAAAACAACAGCTCCACCACACAAACGTTACTGTCTCTGGGAGGCTGGTGGGGAAGCGCATGATGGAGGTGAGGGTGTGAGGAGGGAAAAAAGGGTAGGAGGTCACGACAAGTGTGACAGGAAGTATGAAAAAAAGAAATAGCCATGGCACAAAATCCCCTCTGTTACCGTATTGCCAACATTTAAGATGATTTAACTTTTTAAGTGAACTGTTTTTGTGGAAAATGACATGGTCCTTTCCCTATCAGGATAAATATTTTTCCCAAAGAAAAAAGCTTTTTGTCGTTGTCTTTATAGAAGCCAGTAAGCATCATTACAGAGACAGGGGGTTAAGCAAATTGACACTAACAACTACAGCCACACTGCCTGCAATTGACCTGAGAGTGAGTGTCACTTAGAGGAAAAAGGTTTTTGATGATTTAAGCTTGAGAGAGGAAACACTTTTCCCTTGCCCACATTGTGCTGCTTACAATAATCAGGTCAATCACCAGAGAACATGCAGAGATGATACAGGACAATGAAGGCTCAGCAGCTTCCTATTAAAATTCCTGTTAAATTGTGGAAAAATGTTGCCCCTTGGGTGGAGTTGCCTTTAATATGAAGGGCGTATAATGTGGAATTTAGAATTGGGTCTGGGTCACCGCACTGAATGATGGGCTGCTCACTGTGGTCGTGATGGACAATGTGGCATGGCTTGGATCTGGCGCACTATCCTGATTTGACTTTCGTGCTGCCTCAACAATTTATTGTAGCATTAAAATTGTGGGCACACCGCCAATGAATTGGGACATTGTTATGACAGAAACACCCTTACACCACTCATAATGATCTGAAGCATTTGTGGGCATGGGCTGTTATGTATTAAGTTGCATTTATAGCCGAATGAAACATAAGGAATAATAATAATAATCTCAACTTCACCTCAAAAAATTAATAGTGGACACTACAGTGAGTCAAACGTACTGAAACTCAATTCAGATTTATAGGAAAGAATGGAAAGAGTGTGAGTGTGTGAATCGTGTACATGTGTGTGTGAGTTTCAGCGCATACTTGAGTGTGTGTGCATCTCTGTGTGTGTGAGTGGGTGTGTGGATGGCAGCTGGGAGGCAGACACGGTCCAGGAGAATCGTCCCCTAGCAACTGACCTTTCGGCAGATGGCAGCTCCAGACTAACAGCCACCCAGCATCACAATGGCCGTGGCCTCCTAACATCTCCATCACTTCATCATCTACCAGCCTGCCACAACCTGTCACACACAGGAGAGAGGGAAGGTTACATTCATCACAACACGCATACACGCACTCAAGTGTCCTCTCGCCTCGAGTCCACAACATTCCACAGACATCAGTTCGGGTCTGCCCTCGACTGTTCCCATGTTCCTGGGGTAAGCAGCGGGGCAGTCGAAGGGGATGAGAGGAGGATAGATTTAGGAGAGACACAGTGGACACTCACTGCTGTCCGCAAACCTCCAGACACTCTCAAACCACTGTTTTCCGTTGTTGGGTTTTTCTGCACATACTGAATCAGGGTGGGAATGTGGACAGACCACTCGACCATGGTGAGCAATCAGTATGATGTCTGTGGTCGGGCTCTGCGCCCCTGTGGAGCGAGATGGAGAGCGAGCCCTGCAGTTAAAGGCCAGAGGGATATATATTTTTGCAGTGTTTTTGCATTTGTGATATGCCAGCACTCTTCACGTGTATGAAGATGTTGTGAATAGCAGCGTCAACACACACAGTGATATATATATTTGGACTTATCAACACTCCCCACCCTCTGCACTTACACAGCATGACCTCTTGATAGTCTTGGCTTGAAGGCCATTTTCTCTGCTGGCCCATTATGTGTCGATATTAAATACTTTTCACGA